GTGAGTGAGTGAGTGAGTGAGTGAGTGAGTGAGTGCATGTGTATGTGTGTGTGTGTGAGAGTGAGTGTGTGTGAGTGTGTGTGTGTCTCACCAGTCTCTGTTGCTCCAGCAGTAGATCTGCTTCCTCTTTCTCTCTCCGATACTGAATCTCCACGTCCTGTAACCTGAGAGAGACACGCGGATGGTGAATAGACCACCTCAGTAGCTAGGTTGGACTAGGTTGATTAATCAACCGATAGTTTTTAAAATGGACACTGAACAAAAAAGATTGCACTTATTAATCAATATTGTTATTATCTTTCAAATTCTAATAAATAAACTAATAAAACAAAATGGTACAAATAAAGTGCAGCACATGCAAAGAATGCAATAACTGTGGCAACTTTAACATTTGAAAGGATACTATGACAAAGTTATCGCTTTCCTTATTCAAACTGATTTTATTTCATGAATATATGATTGACCTGAAGAATGAAAGCTTCATCATACACTTGTATAATTATGAGCTTTCTCACGCTCTTAGACTCTAGGGGTGTGACAATACACTTAATATTTTATATTTAATAATATTTATGCATTTATCCAAAGCGACTTACAGTGCATTCAGGTTATACATTATTTACCAGTATGTGTGTTCCCTGGGAATCGAACCCACAACCTTTTGCGCTGCTCACTTAACTCACGAGACGAGACAAAATACAGATACTTGGTTCACTAGAACGAGACAATATTTTAATACTTTAAGAAATGTTCAAATGACAAAATATTTGTCTTTTAATCACAAAAAGTAAAACTATGCAGTTGTATTTTGAAATGTTTGAACTAATCTAGTGCTTAACTAATGATTATTTTGCTAATCAAGTAATCTGATATTTTTTAGTAATACAAATAGAACTAAGTGGAAAAATAGGCTTTAATATGTAGGGCTGTGCCATATCATACAGTTCATGATAATACCGGTATACATTTTTACATGATAAAAAAAGTGTCATATCGCGATATCAATGATATAGCGACACGATGACGTATGGCAGATATACGTTCCCTAGCGCGCACAACAACAACACCACCACAAACCCAATAGGTTTGTTCGGCTTGAAGCAGCGCTGTGCAGACTGATCGGTGTATTGCATCAAATTATCGCAAGAGAGCGGTTCTAGAGCATATTCGAGCACATACTCTTACCGTCAAAATTAGGCGAGGCGCATATCTTTAGCGAAGCGGCGCGGAGAGCTGCTTCTGGAACGCTTCTGAAACATGCCGCGGCACCGCTGGTGTAAATACAAGCATTGACTAGAGTGGCCGCATCAAAGCCATAAAGGCACGGATATACTTCACATTCCGCGTTTTGTTCTGTCTCGCACACAGCCGCGTCCGCACAGTTTTTAATGTATACTCAACCGCAGATGAGCGTGGACGAACGAGCTCGGCTGTCCGCTGCTGTCCGGGAGCCCTCTTCATGACGAAAATGACGTAATGCGGACGGCCGAAGTATTCGCTTGATAATTTTCCGGGTTGCATCTATTGCTGGAGCGCCTGAGAAAATCCGCTGTTATTGTACAGAGCGAGAGCGGCCTCTAGAGGAGAATCACTGACACCTCTGCTGTTTGTTTTGACACACGATTCTGTGCACTGCACAGAGCGGGACACTTCAGACGCCGATTTAAACACAGCCGACAGAAAATCCTGTCGCGCCACATAGTTTTCCATTTAAACTACAATTTTCAGGACTTAAAGATCTCCGGCACAGCGTGCGTGGCGTTTGGCTGCGGAAAAAAAAGTCATCCTACATTTAAAAACACTTGTTTATGACACGTTCGAGTTCATGAGTTCGCCTACCAATGCATACCACGCAGTATAACTATGTGTGTGTGTGTGTGTGTGTGTGTGTGTGTGTGTGAGTGAGTGTGTGGGTGGGTGTGTGTGTGTGTGTGTGTGTGCGCGTTTTTGTGACAAATGAGGACATAAAATTGTATAATGACAAAGGTATGACAGGTATTACAAGGAGAAGCTGACTTTTCAGGACATTACCCCATGTCCCCACTTTTCAAAACGCTTATAAATCACACAGAATGGAGTGTATTGAAAATCTGAAATAGCAGAAAGTCTCCTGTGAGGGGTAGGTTTAGGGGTAGCACACTCACACACACACACATACACTCTCACACACGCATTCACTCACACACTCTTACCTCCTCCGTTCTGGTTGATGTAGCTGTAAAACACACAGTGCTGCTCTTTAATGAACTGACCACTGAGCTTGATGTCCACATCCTTCTGACCAACCCTGACACACACACACACACAGATGAATATCAGCACATAAGCAATCATCAGCTCAATTATTTACTGAAATACCACATCACACTATTTAAATCTTTAAAAAGATTCAATTTTACAATACATATTTTCAAAGTGATTGGATATGTCACAATCTCACAAACATCCTGCAGCTCTGTAATGGAGACTGAACTAGGGATGTTCATTTTAACCGGTTGACCGTTGACCATATTTAGAAAAGAACAAGAATTAAAAATAGAAGAAGCTATAGCAATATAAACAACAAGCCAAAACTAATTAATTTAGGCTAAAACGACACAAAATCAAATGTTTCCGTATTCGCGATGTATTTGAATGGCAAACTATTATTTATTATGTGGCCTACTTCACTCGCATAGAGAGAGCCACGTAAAACTAAATGTTGTGCATAACATCACGACGGTACGGTGATAATGCTTAACGGCACAGATTTCACTACATATTTAATCTGAGCAGTGTGTTTTTTCCGTATGTTTGACTGACTGTATTGTATTATGATAATGAACAGGCTGCATTGTCAAGGTAGCAAAGCTTAATTGTGCGCGCATGCGGCGCCGGCGCAATCACTCGAGCTTTTCCCTTCTAACAGTGGAAGCAACTACTCCTTTAGTCAAGAAGATAATCGGAATTGCAAAAGGTTTGCCTTTATTTGTGTACATTCACAATAAAAACAAATCTTTGTGCTTTTGTAAAATAAGCCTAAAGAAAAATAGGATGCCGCTTTCTGCCGTCTGTTTCCTTTCGTGCAGCACAAAAATGAACCGAAACTCTGCATACTAGGCTACTTGTTGCAAAGTTTTTATTTCATTTTCTTAATTTATTATTCAAGTAAAAATATATTTCTCGTATAGGTCTATTTATTCGTTATATAGCCTAGCTTTATGATGTTTTTCTCTGCTCGCAGAAGCGCTGCAGGTGCGTGATGTGTGTGATAAGAAGACCATGTGAATCCTCAAGTTCTGTTGTTTGCTGCTTTTGTAAAATTAATCCCCGGGAAACAAATGTTAGTATTTTTAACGGGCCACAGACACTTATCCTTTCTAATTTAAATAATCTATTCGGTTAACGGTTAATAATCGGTTAACGAGCATCGGTTGTCGATTAGGAAAAATAACCGAAATGAACATCCCTAGTCTGAACTGGTGGTTTAGATTCAGTCTGAACCGGATGATGATGGTTGTGATTCGTTCACCTGGTCACACCCTCTTTGATGTAGTACAGCAGACACTCAGACATCAGCGGATCCTCGTTCAGATTCACCAGGTGAGGAGTCTGAAACACACACACACACACACCTGAACATCTCTGCACTGTGTGTTTATGTAGTATATGTGTATGTGAGTGTGTGTCTATGTGTGTGTGTGAGAGAGAGAGTGTGTGTGTGTGTGAGTGTTTGTGTGTATGTGAGTGTGTGTGTGTGTGTGTGTGTGTGTGTGAGAGAGAGAGAGTATGTGTGTATGTGAGTGTGTGTGTGTGTGTGAGTGAGAGTGTGTGTGAGTGTGTGTGCGAGTGTGTGTGTGTGTGTGAGTGAGAGTGTGTGTGAGTGTGTGTGCGAGTGTGTGTGTGTGTGTGAGTGAGAGTGTGTGTGAGTGTGTGTGCGAGTGTGTGTGTGTGTGTGAGTGAGAGTGTGTGTGAGTGTGTGTGCGAGTGTGTGTGTGTGTGTGAGTGAGAGTGTGTGTGAGTGTGTGTGCGAGTGTGTGTGTGTGTGTGAGTGAGAGTGTGTGTGAGTGTGTGTGCGAGTGTGTGTGTGTGTGTGAGTGAGAGTGTGTGTGAGTGTGTGTGCGAGTGTGTGTGTGTGTGTGAGTGAGAGTGTGTGTGAGTGTGTGTGCGAGTGTGTGTGTGTGTGTGAGTGAGAGTGTGTGTGAGTGTGTGTGCGAGTGTGTGTGTGTGTGTGAGTGAGAGTGTGTGTGAGTGTGTGTGCGAGTGTGTGTGTGTGTGTGAGTGAGAGTGTGTGTGAGTGTGTGTGCGAGTGTGTGTGTGTGTGTGAGTGAGAGTGTGTGTGAGTGTGTGTGCGAGTGTGTGTGTGTGTGTGAGTGAGAGTGTGTGTGAGTGTGTGTGCGAGTGTGTGTGTGTGTGTGAGTGAGAGTGTGTGTGAGTGTGTGTGCGAGTGTGTGTGTGTGTGTGAGTGAGAGTGTGTGTGAGTGTGTGTGCGAGTGTGTGTGTGTGTGTGAGTGAGTGTGTGTGTGTGTGTGTGTGGGTGTGTGTGTGTGCGTGTGTGTGAGTGTGTGTGTGTGAGTGTGTACGGACCCCTTTAGGTGAAAACACTCCGACAGTTCCTCCATCCTCTTTAATGGACACTCCCATCTCTGCCAGAATCGACTCCCTGCACACAGGAAGCACAGCGGTCACATGACCATCTGAGCATTTACAGCACGCTCAGAACTGAATTTGAATTCGAAGTCATTTCCACTCCGTTCGTTTATTTTCAGGGGCACTGCGACATTTTATCATGATGAAATATATTGAAATGAAAAATAACATGAAATATAAAACAATGAAAACTCATCTCTTTCATCACCATCTGACACACTAAACTTCACGTGCTAGTTTTGCTGCTTGATATTACAAATTGGTGTGGCTTTCCATATTATTTTAATGTATTATCTTAATTATGAACACACTGGCTTGTAATGCAAACAGTTTACCATTTACTGCACTTCGTTATTTCCCTACAGCAGCTAACGAACCAGAAGTCTCACACATTCACAGAAAACGGCTTATGTGGATAGCGTTTATTATTTATGTTAAGATGATATAATAAGATGATAAACAAAAATTTAAAATAAAAAAAACAATATTTCATGTACACAATTATTTTTTGTGTGTTTTCTGTTTAAAACCACTTGCTAGAAGCTCTTTTTTTTTTCACAGAAGCATTTATTTTTCAGCTAATAAAATATTTTGTGTCCATTTATTCATTTGTTGACTGTCATCTGGGGTTTAGTGACAGACCTCAGACAGTACAACCAGTGTGCTTTACCTCTCCAGGCGTATAGACTCGGTCTTCCTCAGCTTCTCCTCCCACGTCTCATTCAGCTCAGCGATGATCTTCTCTGTTTCCTGCGCACGCACACACACACACACAAACGTTTGTGTCTGAGCACAGGATAGTGATTATCTCATGCTCCGCCCACCACCATAGCCCCGCCCTCTTGTACCTTCAGTCTCTCCACTGCCTCCTCATTGGTAATCATCTCGCCCTGAAACTCTTCTAATTGGCCATGGCCATCCAGAGAGGCGGGGTCACTCTCAGAGGCGGGGCCTTCTCCTGGGACAGGTGTGGCTGTGGGTGGAGCTCCATTGGAGGCGGGGTCAGCAGGCATTAGAGTGACGCCCACATGGTTATTATTGACTTCAGCAGCTAAAAGACGAATAGAGACATTTTAAAACTAGTGCTGTCAAAATTAGCACGTTAATTTTCCCAGTTTAACGGCGTTAAGAATATTTAACGCAGTTAATGCAGGGGCGTAGTTAGGGTTGGCCACTCCACTCACAACTGCTGCTTCTGAAGGGCACGGGTAAATATGACATTTATTATAAACGGTTTATGTGAAGATTGTTTTAAGTTCACTTAACTTAGAAGTTATTTTTTAAAGTCTAATAAATGCTAAAATTGATAGCGCTCAGTTATACTGTATTGTTCGTATAGTCAACATTACATATAGTGTCACAGTGTCTAGTTGGTGTGCCCATGTATAGCCCCCAGAGGGCACGCTTCTTAGTTTTGTTTGTTTCTCTGGACTTCAGTTCCCATCACCCTTTGCTTTAACTATCAAGTCTCATTACATTCAGCTGTGTCTCAATGACCTTGTTAGCTCATCCACATATAAGCCCGGTTTTCTTTGTCTTTGGTTGCTGGTTTATTGTTTTCTGTTATGTGTTTCTGTTACTCTGTTTTGCCCTGATTTGGATTTCACTGTTTGTTTTTGGACTCTTTAATAAATGCTGCATTTGGGTCTTCTTGTTGTGGAGTACTCCGTGGCATATAGTCAATGGTTAAACATTAGGAAAAAATAACAATTTTATAGAGACATCAGTAGTATTGGTATCATTGATACTCGTCTTCAGTTATAAGAAAAGATGCCGACAAACACATTTTTTAAATATACTGTCTATGTTGTTTTTAGCTTAATTTGAAGATTGAATGTGAAATTATTGCAATATAAAAGTATACTTAAAAATGTAAATGCTAAGTGGGATTAATCGCGATTAATTTCAGAAAAAATGTGATTAATTAGTTATAATTCATTTTTTTAATTGATTGACAGCACTATTTAAAACATGACTGTGTATCAAACATTTATACTTAAAACTCTTAAGTGTGTAATGTGTGTGTGTGTGTGTATGCGACTGTGTGTGTGTTTGTATGACTATGTATGTGTGTGTGTGTGTGTG